GCAGCACCCTCAGGCCCAGTACCCTCAGTCCCAGCACCCCCAGGCTCAGTACCCTCAGTCCCAGCACCCCCAGGCTCAGTACCCTCAGTCCCAGCACCCCCAGGCTCAGTACCCTCAGTCTCTGCTCCAGTGTCCACAGCAGCAGGCTGCAGAGGCGGCGAAGACGGCCGTGGCGGGAAACCCGGGGGGGTCTCCAAGCGAGGAGTGCGGCGAGTGGTCGCCGTGTCGTCGGCGACGGCGTCACCCCCCTCAGGTGAGTCAGAGGAGTCAGAAGAGATCTCAACTGGCTCATCCAAGGGGGGTGGGTCTACCTGGGACACACCTGAGGGAGCAGGACCCTGTGGGGGAAGGGGGTCTACCGGGGGGGGGGACTAGTACCAGGAAGAGAGGTGCGAGAGGGACCGGGTGGGACGCGTGCGGGTGAAGTCGGTAGTAACAGACCGACTCGTCAAAGGTGACATCCTGAGAGGACAGAACACGACGCGAGGCAGGGTGGTAGAACTGTCAGGGTGGAGCGTCGGTGGGGAAGCCCAGGAAGACACAGCGGAGAGTGCGAGGGGAGAGCTTGCTCGCTTTGGTATCGCGAACAAGGGAGAGCGCGCCCCAGACCCGAAACGACGACGCATCACCAGGCTGTCCCGTCCAACGGAGTGTGGGCGAGGTCTCTGGAGCAGAGACACGGGGCCAGAGGTTGAGCTGATGCGCGGCGTATCGGACCGCAAACGGCCACAGGAAATGGGGAGCAGCCGCATGGATCATGGAGGTACGAGCAACCTCCATGATCAGGCCAATGCGACGCTCAGCGATCCCATTTTGCTGCGGAGAGGCCGGAAGCGTGAACGACTGGCGGATGCCCTCATCCTGGCAGAACGTCTCAAGGACGCCAGAGGAGAACTCACCACCCCTGTCAGAGTGCAGACGCAGGACTGGGAAGTCCTGCTGAAAGCGCTCGTGCAGCTGGAGACGAGTAGCACGGATCCAGCGGACACCACTGACATCCGCCTTGCGCCGCAAGGGGAAGACTGTGGTGTAGCGTGTGTAGTCGTCAACCACCAGCAGGAAGTAGCGCTCCTGGTCCGTTCCACCGACGGGGGCCGGGCCCCACACGTCCATGTGGAGAGTCTGCAGAGGAGCAGTGGTCGGAGGAAACTCGGAGGAGTGAGGAGCGGCGCGCTGCCGCCCCTCGACGCAAGGAAGGCACGGCGGCGCAAGTGAGCGCGGGAGGGGGGGCAGGGTCTCAGGGAGGCCAGTGACCAGGAGCCGGGAGTGCATGCGGCGCAGACGCTGCAGGGAGGGGTGACCAAGACGGTGGTGCCAGCGCTGAGTCTCGTGCGTGAGTACTCGGCACGAGCAAGACGCAGCTAACTGCCCTGACGCAGACGCTCGACTCGACGTAGCTACCTGACCTGACTCAGCCACCTGTGCAGACGCAGTGGTCAGTGTGTACAGACTAGACCCAGGCTGTCGAGTGAACGTAGCCAGGTGACGGCCAGTCCGGGAGCACGTACAGATCGCCACACGCTGCCCTCCAGGAATAAAGGTATCAACCCAGACATCCTGAATGGCAGCGTTGCTCACCAAGTTCGTCAAGAACGTGGGGAGGTGGAGACCTGACAAAGAGCCGGAGGGGACTGCTGGACAAGGGAGGACCGTGGAGGCTCTCGCAACCACTGGGCCCCCAGAGGGGTCAGCCAGTGAGACTGGGACAGGTGCTGTGAGTGGTGTGACTGTGGTGCAATCACGGAAGAAGCAACGTGACGCGCCGGAGTCAAGCGTGAACGTGTGCAAGACCTCAGCTGAGGCAGGACCTGTGGTAGTAGACGCACTAGCAACTAGAGCGTCGGTAGACTCACGGGCACCTAGAGCTGCAGCAGACTCACTAGCACCTGGAGTGGCAGCAGACTCACTAACACCTGGAGTGGCAGCAGACTGACTAACACCTGGAGTGGCAGCAGACTCACTAACACCAAGAGCAGCGGTCTTAACATAACGATAACCTCCACCACCAGGACGACCTCGCTGAATAACCCACTCACGAAGCTGCTGAGGGGTGGGGTCGTCCGGGAGAAGCAGTGCCCGCTGCTGTCCACCCCTGGCCGCAGCGACTGCCGCGGAAGTGGCCATGACAGACAGTGACTGTCAGGAGTAGGTCCAGCACCTCCAGCTCCTACAGCGCCAGCAGCACCTCCTACACTCCCAGCAGCACCTCCTCCTCTCCCAGTAGCACAAGTAGCAGCAGCAGCAGTAGTAACAGCAGCAGGGCGGTTTGGTGGGGGTGGGAGGCCGCACCTCCACCACTCCCAGCAGTACTCCCTCCAGTAGCAGCAGTAGCAGGGCGGCTCGGGCAGCAGCAGCAGACCGAGCAGCAGCAGCAACAGCAGTAGCACTAGCTGTAGCAAGTGCAGTAGTAGGAGCTGCAGCAGTAGCACTAGCTGTAGCAAGTGAAGTAGTAGGAGCTGCAGCAGTAGTACTAGCTGTACCAAGTGAAGTAGTAGGAGCTGCAGCAGTAGCTTCAGTCAGGAGCAGCTGCAGTAAGTGCTGGAGTAGGAGCTGCAGCAGTAGCACTAGCTGTAGCAGAAGTAGCTTCAGTCAGTACCAGCTGTACCAAGTGCAGTAGTAGGAGCTGCAGCAGTAGCACTAGCTGTAGCTGGAGTAGCTTCAGTCAATAGTAGCTGTAGCAAGTGCTGGAGTAGGAGCTGCAGCAGTAGCACTAGCTGTAGCAGCCGTAGCTTCAGTCAGTAGCAGCTGTAGCAAGTGCCATAGTAGCAGCAGCAGCAGTAGCACTAGCTGTAGCAGCACTAGCTTCAGTAGCAGCAGCAGCGAGTAGCGCTAGCTGTAACAGGAGTAGCGTCAGTAGCAGCAGCAGTGAGTAGCGCTAGCTGTAGCAGCAGTAGCTTCAGTAGCAGCAGCAGTGAGTAGCACTAGCTGTAGCAGCACTAGCTTCAGTAGCAGCAGCAGTGAGTAGCACTAGCTGTAGCAGCACTAGCTTCAGTAGCAGCAGCAGTGAGTAGCACTAGCTGTAGCAGCAGTAGCGTCAGTAGCAACAGCAGTGACAGCTCGGGCTGGGCAGCGCGTAGTAGCAGTAGGCGCGCGTGGGCTGTGGGCATGCAAACCAGGGGCGCGCAACAGGTGCGTGCGGGGCGGCACTACGAGGAGCGCGCATCAGGTGCGTGCTAGGGGCTGGCGGGCAGCGTGAGTGGCGCGCGCAGCAGCAGGAACGAGGGGGGGACCGGGCGTAGGGGCTGACGGGCCGCGCGAGAGGCGCACGGGGCAGCTAGGGCTCGGTCAGGGGGGTCGCACGTGACTAGGAACAGAAAATCGCGTCTAGGCAGAAAAGGGAACCGTCTCGCCTAGGGCACGTTTTCGCATTTCGCGTTTCTCCTAGGGGCGCGACTCGGGCAGCAGGTCGAAATAGTAGTGGTGGGCCCTTTTAAAATTTCGGTCCTAAGGAGCATTGTGCTCTTAATACCATGTTAGAGTTACTAGCTAGATGAGTGAGTTCGATTAGGTAAGGGGGGGGTACAAGGACTATCGAGAGAGATTGTTGTACCCTCTAAGGAAAGAACCCTACACAACCTAGAGTGAAATAAGCAGAACAATATGTTTTGACAAATCTTGTATCTATTTGCTTTAATCAATCGACTTTGCCCTCACATACTAGTGCAAGGTGGTTCAAGCACTTCTCATTAAAGCTTCCGCTAATTACAACAAGTCCTACCTAGAGTTCACTCCTGCAAAGATCCTAAGGGCTTTTTCTCAGCCCAACAGAAACGAGGGGACTGTGGTAATAGAATTGATAGTCGTAGGTTTGAAGTGTTTAGTTATTATTTATTCATAATGTGATTCTACATGCAATGGTTTGACCTGAATGCTGTTGGCAATGCTTTCTGCAGGGTGTCTGTGCAGTCCAAGAAATGTACATTTCGTGCACAAGAAATGTACCGAGTTAGACAATGTACAGTCCAAAATAAGCGGTGCCAGTTCCTTCTAGAACACCCCTCAATTTCTCCCGTCCATCCATCAGCAGCAGTCCGTGCAAACCCCAAGAACCGGGATCCTAGAATGCGGGTTTTTGCATTCCACACAAAACCCTTCCATATCAACCAACTCCCTACCCCAGAGCTGTTAGCCCAGGCCGTTTTGCATTCTGATAGGCTTTGATAACGCAGAGATTCTCTGTCTTTGATCACGTTGTTCGCGGTAATTGCTTCTGAACACGTGCCGAGTTTGGGGTTTCTCTGCTGTGCTCCTGCTGTTCCCTCGCGCCATTCGCGACGTGATTTTCGTGTCTTTCAAAGATCACGCGCACAGCATCACGCCTCATCGATATTTGATAAATCTCGGCCGCCTTCTGCATCGTTCCTCCCGTTCTCCGGGGAAAAAAAGACGCCGCTTAGTCGAAGTTTGCCTTGTAAGCGATTACGGTATTGCAGCTTAGACTTTCCGCGAGGGTTTAAATGCCCGGAAAAGGCCAAGAAAAGAGCGGCGACGGTGGAATGGTGAAGGGAGGAAAGAAGAAGAACGAAATGAAGGGGTTAAAAGAAGCGAGTGAGTCAGGGGAGGAGATTAAGGTCGAGGGGGAGGAAGAGGAGAGAGAAGAGGAAATGGTCGAGATGGAGGAGGAGGGGGAGAGTGAGGGAGAAGAGGAAGAGGGGAGTGAGGAGGAGGGGGAGGAGGGGGAGGAGGGGGAAGAGGGGGAGGAGGGGGAGGAAGGACAAGCGGAGGAAATGGAGGGAGGGGAAGATGACGAGGAGGAAGAGGAGGACGAGGAAGATGAGGATGATGAGGAGGAAGTGGAAGAGGAAGTGGAAGAGGAAGGTGAGGAAGAAGAGGAGGAAGAGAAAGAGGAGCAGGAAGAGCAGGAGGAAGAGGGTTCAGAGAGCAAGAAGCGGAAGCGGAAGGAGGGGGCGGAGAAGGGCGCGGGAGAAGGGGAGAAGGCAGCGGGGGGATCGGCGGGATCGGCGGGGAAGAAGGTCGCGGTCGGGGCGACCAAGGCGGACATGGTAGCTAAGGAAGCTTCCGCGACGGACACGCCAGGGAAGGCAAAGAAAAGCAAGGAGGGGAAGAAGGCGAAAGGGGGGGATACGGCGGAGAAAGCGGAAAAAGGGGATAAGAAGGGAAAGGCGGCGGAGACGGCGAAGGAGGCGGCGAGGGAGGCGGGGAGCAACATTATGAGCGCGGTGGCGTTCGATACGCTCCACATCTGCGACGGCACGCGCAAGGGGATTGAAGCGATGGGCTTCACGCACATGACGGAGGTAAACCCCTAGCCCTTATGCCTGGAACTGAATGTCCACGTGGGGAGCAACATTATGAGCGCAGTGGCGTGCGATCCGCTTCGCGTCTGCGATGGCACGCGCAAGGGCATTGAAGAGATGGGCTTCACGCACATGACGGAGGTAAGCGTTTCTAAACCCTTGGGTTCACGACCCGAGGTGGGCTTTAAGCACATGACGGCGGTAATTGCTCCTATACCTGAGGGTTCCATGTCGGAGATACGCGCCCCAAGCCTTTTAGTTCCTCACTTCCGTTCTCACATCGGAGCCTTACACCAGGTGTGCTTCAAACACGTGACGGATGTATGCGGTTTAAGAGGGCGCAAGGGCCTCAGGGTACGTTCTCAGCCCATGTCAGGAAGGCTGACATGAAGCTGTGTAGGGTTTGGATTCGATTGATGATGACGTGGAACGATCGGAGCTGTCGATAGATAGCCTTGTGTCAGGAAACTTGACACAGGCTAAGAACGTACCCCCAGAACAGGAGCGAAATGTTGCTTTCTGGGTTCGATACAGGGCGTAGGGTTGCTGCAGAAAATAATTGGATTTGTTGTTTGAATGAATCATATGCGCCTCGCGTCAAAAGTATACGTAGCAGGGTTTAAGTTACTCCTCTTCATTCTCGGGTTGGTGTTTCCACAGAAGCATTTAACAAGCCTCTTATTGTACTAATTAAACCCGAAACTTATTCAGTGGCCTTAAACCCTGACGTTGGTCTTCCATCCTCATTTACTTTATAATCTCTGGAAATTTATACCCCTCTCAACTGCTGCAGGTTCAGGCTCGGACCATACCGCACCTGCTGGCTGGGAAGGACGTGCTAGGCGCGGCACGCACAGGCTCGGGGAAGACCCTGGCGTTCCTCATCCCCGCTATAGAGCTGCTGTTCCGCGGCAACTTCATGCCGCGCAACGGCACGGGCGTGATCATCATCTCTCCCACCCGCGAGCTGGCAATGCAGGTGCGTTTCGAATGAGGGATGGTGTGTTGTGAAGGAGGGGAAGGTTCGTACATAGTGGCATGCAGGGTGAGGCGGGGGGCGGGCGCGAGCTTTATCTCACTCACTCGCGAGCTAGCCTGCATGGCGCACCAGAGAGCTGGGGATGCGGTGTGGGGCGGGGGGTCAGCACCATCTTTGCATGCCAAGGAAGGAACGGCACGGCACGGGCGTGATATTTACCTCACCCACTCGCGAGCTAGCCATGCAGGTGGGTTTTCTAGAAAGAGATGATGAGTTCATGGGTTTGGGAATGCGTGGGGTCATATCGTCATCCCTTCATGCCACGAAATGGCCCGGGCGTGATCAGATCAGCATCCCGCGACGCGGGCTGGCCATGCAGGTGGGTGGAGAGAAGGGGGTGGTTTTTGAGGCGCCTCAAAAGGTTTGGAAGGGGAGAGGGGGGGGGGTAATCAGCATCTTAGTGATGAGGGGGAAAGGCAGGGCCGGTGGGGTGTGCGGAAGGGTTGGTTGATGCATGTCCTTTAAGGTTGGTGCTACCATCTCTCCCTCCTTCCTCACTCCCCCCTCCATCCCCTCCCCCCTTCCCTCATGGCCCACGGCAAGCACACGCCAGGCATCCTGATTACCCTCTCCCTTCCTTCCACCTACTCCCTTATCCGTTTCCTCAGATTTTTGGAGTTGCACGGGACCTCATGGCCCACCACAAGCAGACCTTCGGCATTGTGATGGGCAGCGTACTTCCTTCCTCCCTCTTTCTCACACTGCTCTCTCCCCCCAACACACGCATCCTTGCAAACCCAGATCTTTTGAGTCGACTCAAAAGTCACCTCGACTCAAAAGTCTCCTCCCCCTTTCTCACACCCCTCTCTCCCCCCAACACACGCATCCTTGCAAACCCAGATCTTCGGAGTGGCTCGGGACCTCATGGCCCACCACAAGCAGACCTTCGGCATTGTGATGGGCGGCGCGAACCGCAAGGCGGAGGCGGAGAAGCTTATAAAGGGGACGAACCTGGTGGTGGCGACGCCCGGGCGGCTGCTGGATCACCTGCAGAACACCAAGGGGTTTGTCGTTCGCAACCTCAAGTGCCTCGTCATCGATGAGGCGGATCGGATTCTCGAAGTGGGGTTTGAAGAGGAGATGAGGCAGATTCTGAATCTCCTGCCCAAGGTGAGTCCACCTGCAGAACACCAAGGGGTTTGTGTGTCGCAACCTCAAGTGCCTCGTGATTGACGAAGCAGATCGCATCCTGGAAGTGGGGTTTGAAGAGGAGATGAGGCAGATTCTCAACCTCCTGCCCAAGCTGAGTCCACCTGCAGAACACCAAGGGGTTTGTCGTTCGCAACCTCAAGTGCCTCGTCATCGACGAAGCAGATCGCATCCTGGAAGTGGGGTTTGAAGAGGAGATGAGGCAGATTCTCAACCTCCTGCCCAAGGTGAGTCCACCTGCAGAACACCAAGGGGTTTGTCGTTCGCAACCTCAAGTGCCTCGTCATCGACGAAGCAGATCGCATCCTGGAAGTGGGGTTTGAAGAGGAGATGAGGCAGATTCTCAACCTCCTGCCCAAGGTGAGTCCACCTGCAGAACACCAAGGGGTTTGTCGTTCGCAACCTCAAGTGCCTCGTCATCGACGAAGCAGATCGCATCCTGGAAGTGGGGTTTGAAGAGGAGATGAGGCAGATCCTCAACCTGCTGCCCAAGGTACAGTCTGCACACACCCACTCACTAGCTGTTCACCTGCAGTGCAGAGCACGGAGGGGTTTGTGTGTCGCAACCTCAAGTGCCTCGTGATTGACGAGGCGGATCTGATCCTCGAAGTGGGGTTTGAGGAGGAGATGAGGCAGATCCTCAACTTGCTGCTTAAAGTGGGTAGGGTGTGCAAGCACTCACCTCTACCTTCCTGTGTGCTCACCCGCCTGCCTGGTGTGCACCTGATCCTCGAAGTGGGGTTTGAGGAGGAGATGAGGCAGATCCTCAACCTGCTGCCCAAGGTGCGTGTGTGATGATCCCAAGGTGAATGGTGGAATCGCCTGGGCTGGGCTTTTGTTAGACCATCTGCAGAGCACCAAGTGGTTTTGCTGCTTCGCCCATAACCAGGACCGCCAAACGATGCTGTTCTCAGCCACGCAAACCACCAAGATGGAGGATTTGACACGAATGAGCTTCAGCCTATTATCCTCTTGTCGTTTCTCTCTCGCTCCCACCCCCCATTCATCCCTCACCAACACCAGGACCGCCAGACGATGCTGTTCTCAGCAACTCAGACCACCAAGGTGGAGGACCTGGCGCCAGTGAGCTTCAGCCGCACCCCTTTGCCTGCTACCCTCCCATGTGTGCCCCTCTTATCTACCAGGAGCGCCAAACCATGCTGTTCTCAGCAACTCAGACCACCAAGGTGGAGGACCTGGCGCCAGTGAGCTTCAGCTCCCTCCCTCCATCCTCCCCCCTTGTGGTGTCTCCCTCCCACCCCCCCATTCCCAACTCCAGGAGCGCCAAACCATGCTGTTTTCGGCCACGCAGACCACCAAGGTGGAGGATCTGGCGCGAGTGAGCTTCAGCCGCACCCCCGTTTACATTGGCGTCGACGACGGGCGGCACAAGGTACTGTAGCTTTGACGATGGGCGGCAAAAGGTACTGTAGCGTTGACGAGGGGCGGCACAAGGTACTGTAGCTTTGACGATGGGCGGCACAAGGTACTGTAGCGCTGGATGATGACGGGCGGCGTGAGGTGATGTCGCGTTGGAGGACGGGTGGCAGGAAGTATTGTAGGTGCAGGTGACGGGCGGGGTGAGGTACTGTAGTGTTTGGCGTTGGGCGGCAGCTCACCATGGCGTTGGGCGGCAGCTCACCATGGCGTTGGGCGGCAGTACAAGCCACGGTGGAGGGCCTGGAGCAGGGCTACTGCGTGGTGCCCAGCGAGGAGCGCGTTGGTGTGATAGCATGCGGTTCAATAATCTTATGCTTGTGCTTGTGCTCTGTCATGCACTTGGTCGGATTGTGTACAGGCCACAGTCGAGGGCCTGGAGCAGGGCTACTGCGTGGTGCCCAGCGAGGAGCGATTTGCTCTGGTGGCACTCGATTCATTACTCTTGTGCTTGCGCGTGTCATATGCTTGATCGTTCACCCACAGGCCACGGTGGAGGGCCTGGAGCAGGGCTACTGCGTGGTGCCCAGCGAGGAGCGCTTTCTGCTGCTCTTCACGTTCCTCAAGAAGAACCTCAAGAAGAAGGTAGGAGGGGGGAAGGGGTGAAGGGAGGAGGGGCAAGAGGAGTGATTGTTGGGTCTACTCTGACGTCACCCAGCGAGGAGCGCTTTCTGCTGCTCTTCACCTTCCTCAAGAAGAACCTCAAGAAGAAGGTGAGAGGGTGGAAGGAGGGGTTGAAGGGGAGGAGGGGGAAGAGAAGAGGGGCAGGGGGAGTGGCTTTAGACTGTACTGCAGGTGAGGAGCCCTTAACCAATTGCTTCTGCTTCTCCTCGTGTGCTGCTGTGAAGTTCGATTCTGAACTGCTCAACTACGTTGACACCCCCGTCGCTCCCCTTACCACACGGCCTCTGTTCTCCCTTTCCCTTTCACTCCTCAGGTCATGGTCTTCTTCTCCTTGTGCGCTGCTGTCAAGTTCTACTCTGAACTGCTCAACTACGTTGACACCCCCGTCGCTCCCCTTACCACACGGCCTCTGTTCTCCCTTTCCCTTTCACTCCTCAGGTCATGGTCTTCTTCTCCTTGTGCGCTGCTGTCAAGTTCTACTCTGAACTGCTCAACTACGTTGACACCCCCGTCGCTCCCCTTACCACACGGCCTCTGTTCTCCCTTTCCCTTTCACTCCTCAGGTCATGGTCTTCTTCTCCTTGTGCGCTGCTGTCAAGTTCTACTCTGAACTGCTCAACTACGTTGACACCCCCGTCGCTCCCCTTACCACACGGCCTCTGTTCTCCCTTTCCCTTTCACTCCTCAGGTCATGGTCTTCTTCTCCTTGTGCGCTGCTGTCAAGTTCTACTCTGAACTGCTCAACTACGTTGACACCCCCGTCGCTCCCCTTACCACACGGCCTCTGTTCTCCCTTTCCCTTTCACTCCTCAGGTCATGGTCTTCTTCTCCTTGTGCGCTGCTGTCAAGTTCTACTCTGAACTGCTCAACTACGTTGACACCCCCGTCGCTCCCCTTACCACACGGCCTCTGTTCTCCCTTTCCCTTTCACTCCTCAGGTCATGGTCTTCTTCTCCTTGTGCGCTGCTGTCAAGTTCTACTCTGAACTGCTCAACTACGTTGACACCCCCGTCGCTCCCCTTACCACACGGCCTCTGTTCTCCCTTTCCCTTTCACTCCTCAGGTCATGGTCTTCTTCTCCTTGTGCGCTGCTGTCAAGTTCTACTCTGAACTGCTCAACTACGTTGACACCCCCGTCGCTCCCCTTACCACACGGCCTCTGTTCTCCCTTTCCCTTTCACTCCTCAGGTCATGGTCTTCTTCTCCTTGTGCGCTGCTGTCAAGTTCTACTCTGAACTGCTCAACTACGTTGACACCCCCGTCGCTCCCCTTACCACACGGCCTCTGTTCTCCCTTTCCCTTTCACTCCTCAGGTCATGGTCTTCTTCTCCTTGTGCGCTGCTGTCAAGTTCTACTCTGAACTGCTCAACTACGTTGACACCCCCGTCGCTCCCCTTACCACACGGCCTCTGTTCTCCCTTTCCCTTTCACTCCTCAGGTCATGGTCTTCTTCTCCTTGTGCGCTGCTGTCAAGTTCTACTCTGAACTGCTCAACTACGTTGACACCCCCGTCGCTCCCCTTACCACACGGCCTCTGTTCTCCCTTTCCCTTTCACTCCTCAGGTCATGGTCTTCTTCTCCTTGTGCGCTGCTGTCAAGTTCTACTCTGAACTGCTCAACTACGTTGACACCCCCGTCGCTCCCCTTACCACACGGCCTCTGTTCTCCCTTTCCCTTTCACTCCTCAGGTCATGGTCTTCTTCTCCTTGTGCGCTGCTGTCAAGTTCTACTCTGAACTGCTCAACTACGTTGACACCCCCGTCGCTCCCCTTACCACACGGCCTCTGTTCTCCCTTTCCCTTTCACTCCTCAGGTCATGGTCTTCTTCTCCTTGTGCGCTGCTGTCAAGTTCTACTCTGAACTGCTCAACTACGTTGACACCCCCGTCGCTCCCCTTACCACACGGCCTCTGTTCTCCCTTTCCCTTTCACTCCTCAGGTCATGGTCTTCTTCTCCTTGTGCGCTGCTGTCAAGTTCTACTCTGAACTGCTCAACTACGTTGACACCCCCGTCGCTCCCCTTACCACACGGCCTCTGTTCTCCCTTTCCCTTTCACTCCTCAGGTCATGGTCTTCTTCTCCTTGTGCGCTGCTGTCAAGTTCTACTCTGAACTGCTCAACTACGTTGACACCCCCGTCGCTCCCCTTACCACACGGCCTCTGTTCTCCCTTTCCCTTTCACTCCTCAGGTCATGGTCTTCTTCTCCTTGTGCGCTGCTGTCAAGTTCTACTCTGAACTGCTCAACTACGTTGACACCCCCGTCGCTCCCCTTACCACACGGCCTCTGTTCTCCCTTTCCCTTTCACTCCTCAGGTCATGGTCTTCTTCTCCTTGTGCGCTGCTGTCAAGTTCGATTCTGAACTGCTCAACTACGTTGACACCCCAGTCGCTCCCCTTACCACACGGCCTCTGTTCTCCCTTTCCCTTTCACTCCTCAGGTCATGGTCTTCTTCTCCTTGTGCGCTGCTGTCAAGTTCTACTCTGAACTGCTCAACTACGTTGACACCCCCGTCGCTCCCCTTACCACACGGCCTCTGTTCTCCCTTTCCCTTTCACTCCTCAGGTCATGGTCTTCTTCTCCTTGTGCGCTGCTGTCAAGTTCTACTCTGAACTGCTCAACTACGTTGACACCCCCGTCGCTCCCCTTACCACACGGCCTCTGTTCTCCCTTTCCCTTTCACTCCTCAGGTCATGGTCTTCTTCTCCTTGTGCGCTGCTGTCAAGTTCTACTCTGAACTGCTCAACTACGTTGACACCCCCGTCGCTCCCCTTACCACACGGCCTCTGTTCTCCCTTTCCCTTTCACTCCTCAGGTCATGGTCTTCTTCTCCTTGTGCGCTGCTGTCAAGTTCGATTCTGAACTGCTCAACTACGTTGACACCCCCGTCGCTCCCCTTACCACACGGCCTCTGTTCTCCCTTTCCCTTTCACTCCTCAGGTCATGGTCTTCTTCTCCTTGTGCGCTGCTGTCAAGTTCTACTCTGAACTGCTCAACTACGTTGACACCCCCGTCGCTCCCCTTACCACACGGCCTCTGTTCTCCCTTTCCCTTTCACTCCTCAGGTCATGGTCTTCTTCTCCTTGTGCGCTGCTGTCAAGTTCTACTCTGAACTGCTCAACTACGTTGACACCCCCGTCGCTCCCCTTACCACACGGCCTCTGTTCTCCCTTTCCCTTTCACTCCTCAGGTCATGGTCTTCTTCTCCTTGTGCGCTGCTGTCAAGTTCTACTCTGAACTGCTCAACTACGTTGACACCCCCGTCGCTCCCCTTACCACACGGCCTCTGTTCTCCCTTTCCCTTTCACTCCTCAGGTCATGGTCTTCTTCTCCTTGTGCGCTGCTGTCAAGTTCTACTCTGAACTGCTCAACTACGTTGACACCCCCGTCGCTCCCCTTACCACACGGCCTCTGTTCTCCCTTTCCCTTTCACTCCTCAGGTCATGGTCTTCTTCTCCTTGTGCGCTGCTGTCAAGTTCTACTCTGAACTGCTCAACTACGTTGACACCCCCGTCGCTCCCCTTACCACACGGCCTCTGTTCTCCCTTTCCCTTTCACTCCTCAGGTCATGGTCTTCTTCTCCTTGTGCGCTGCTGTCAAGTTCTACTCTGAACTGCTCAACTACGTTGACACCCCCGTCGCTCCCCTTACCACACGGCCTCTGTTCTCCCTTTCCCTTTCACTCCTCAGGTCATGGTCTTCTTCTCCTTGTGCGCTGCTGTCAAGTTCTACTCTGAACTGCTCAACTACGTTGACACCCCCGTCGCTCCCCTTACCACACGGCCTCTGTTCTCCCTTTCCCTTTCACTCCTCAGGTCATGGTCTTCTTCTCCTTGTGCGCTGCTGTCAAGTTCTACTCTGAACTGCTCAACTACGTTGACACCCCCGTCGCTCCCCTTACCACACGGCCTCTGTTCTCCCTTTCCCTTTCACTCCTCAGGTCATGGTCTTCTTCTCCTTGTGCGCTGCTGTCAAGTTCTACTCTGAACTGCTCAACTACGTTGACACCCCCGTCGCTCCCCTTACCACACGGCCTCTGTTCTCCCTTTCCCTTTCACTCCTCAGGTCATGGTCTTCTTCTCCTTGTGCGCTGCTGTCAAGTTCTACTCTGAACTGCTCAACTACGTTGACACCCCCGTCGCTCCCCTTACCACACGGCCTCTGTTCTCCCTTTCCCTTTCACTCCTCAGGTCATGGTCTTCTTCTCCTTGTGCGCTGCTGTCAAGTTCTACTCTGAACTGCTCAACTACGTTGACACCCCCGTCGCTCCCCTTACCACACGGCCTCTGTTCTCCCTTTCCCTTTCACTCCTCAGGTCATGGTCTTCTTCTCCTTGTGCGCTGCTGTCAAGTTCTACTCTGAACTGCTCAACTACGTTGACACCCCCGTCGCTCCCCTTACCACACGGCCTCTGTTCTCCCTTTCCCTTTCACTCCTCAGGTCATGGTCTTCTTCTCCTTGTGCGCTGCTGTCAAGTTCTACTCTGAACTGCTCAACTACGTTGACACCCCCGTCGCTCCCCTTACCACACGGCCTCTGTTCTCCCTTTCCCTTTCACTCCTCAGGTCATGGTCTTCTTCTCCTTGTGCGCTGCTGTCAAGTTCTACTCTGAACTGCTCAACTACGTTGACACCCCCGTCGCTCCCCTTACCACACGGCCTCTGTTCTCCCTTTCCCTTTCACTCCTCAGGTCATGGTCTTCTTCTCCTTGTGCGCTGCTGTCAAGTTCTACTCTGAACTGCTCAACTACGTTGACACCCCCGTCGCTCCCCTTACCACACGGCCTCTGTTCTCCCTTTCCCTTTCACTCCTCAGGTCATGGTCTTCTTCTCCTTGTGCGCTGCTGTCAAGTTCTACTCTGAACTGCTCAACTACGTTGACACCCCCGTCGCTCCCCTTACCACACGGCCTCTGTTCTCCCTTTCCCTTTCACTCCTCAGGTCATGGTCTTCTTCTCCTTGTGCGCTGCTGTCAAGTTCTACTCTGAACTGCTCAACTACGTTGACACCCCCGTCGCTCCCCTTACCACACGGCCTCTGTTCTCCCTTTCCCTTTCACTCCTCAGGTCATGGTCTTCTTCTCCTTGTGCGCTGCTGTCAAGTTCTACTCTGAACTGCTCAACTACGTTGACACCCCCGTCGCTCCCCTTACCACACGGCCTCTGTTCTCCCTTTCCCTTTCACTCCTCAGGTCATGGTCTTCTTCTCCTTGTGCGCTGCTGTCAAGTTCTACTCTGAACTGCTCAACTACGTTGACACCCCCGTCGCTCCCCTTACCACACGGCCTCTGTTCTCCCTTTCCCTTTCACTCCTCAGGTCATGGTCTTCTTCTCCTTGTGCGCTGCTGTCAAGTTCTACTCTGAACTGCTCAACTACGTTGACACCCCCGTCGCTCCCCTTACCACACGGCCTCTGTTCTCCCTTTCCCTTTCACTCCTCAGGTCATGGTCTTCTTCTCCTTGTGCGCTGCTGTCAAGTTCTACTCTGAACTGCTCAACTACGTTGACACCCCCGTCGCTCCCCTTACCACACGGCCTCTGTTCTCCCTTTCCCTTTCACTCCTCAGGTCATGGTCTTCTTCTCCTTGTGCGCTGCTGTCAAGTTCTACTCTGAACTGCTCAACTACGTTGACACCCCCGTCGCTCCCCTTACCACACGGCCTCTGTTCTCCCTTTCCCTTTCACTCCTCAGGTCATGGTCTTCTTCTCCTTGTGCGCTGCTGTCAAGTTCTACTCTGAACTGCTCAACTACGTTGACACCCCCGTCGCTCCCCTTACCACACGGCCTCTGTTCTCCCTTTCCCTTTCACTCCTCAGGTCATGGTCTTCTTCTCCTTGTGCGCTGCTGTCAAGTTCTACTCTGAACTGCTCAACTACGTTGACACCCCCGTCGCTCCCCTTACCACACGGCCTCTGTTCTCCCTTTCCCTTTCACTCCTCAGGTCATGGTCTTCTTCTCCTTGTGCGCTGCTGTCAAGTTCTACTCTGAACTGCTCAACTACGTTGACACCCCCGTCGCTCCCCTTACCACACGGCCTCTGTTCTCCCTTTCCCTTTCACTCCTCAGGTCATGGTCTTCTTCTCCTTGTGCGCTGCTGTCAAGTTCTACTCTGAACTGCTCAACTACGTTGACACCCCCGTCGCTCCCCTTACCACACGGCCTCTGTTCTCCCTTTCCCTTTCACTCCTCAGGTCATGGTCTTCTTCTCCTTGTGCGCTGCTGTCAAGTTCTACTCTGAACTGCTCAACTACGTTGACACCCCCGTCGCTCCCCTTACCACACGGCCTCTGTTCTCCCTTTCCCTTTCACTCCTCAGGTCATGGTCTTCTTCTCCTTGTGCGCTGCTGTCAAGTTCTACTCTGAACTGCTCAACTACGTTGACACCCCCGTCGCTCCCCTTACCACACGGCCTCTGTTCTCCCTTTCCCTTTCACTCCTCAGGTCATGGTCTTCTTCTCCTTGTGCGCTGCTGTCAAGTTCTACTCTGAACTGCTCAACTACGTTGACACCCCCGTCGCTCCCCTTACCACACGGCCTCTGTTCTCCCTTTCCCTTTCACTCCTCAGGTCATGGTCTTCTTCTCCTTGTGCGCTGCTGTCAAGTTCTACTCTGAACTGCTCAACTACGTTGACACCCCCGTCGCTCCCCTTACCACACGGCCTCTGTTCTCCCTTTCCCTTTCACTCCTCAGGTCATGGTCTTCTTCTCCTTGTGCGCTGCTGTCAAGTTCTACTCTGAACTGCTCAACTACGTTGACACCCCCGTCGCTCCCCTTACCACACGGCCTCTGTTCTCCCTTTCCCTTTCACTCCTCAGGTCATGGTCTTCTTCTCCTTGTGCGCTGCTGTCAAGTTCTACTCTGAACTGCTCAACTACGTTGACACCCCCGTCGCTCCCCTTACCACACGGCCTCTGTTCTCCCTTTCCCTTTCACTCCTCAGGTCATGGTCTTCTTCTCCTTGTGCGCTGCTGTCAAGTTCTACTCTGAACTGCTCAACTACGTTGACACCCCCGTCGCTCCCCTTACCACACGGCCTCTGTTCTCCCTTTCCCTTTCACTCCTCAGGTCATGGTCTTCTTCTCCTTGTGCGCTGCTGTCAAGTTCTACTCTGAACTGCTCAACTACGTTGACACCCCCGTCGCTCCCCTTACCACACGGCCTCTGTTCTCCCTTTCCCTTTCACTCCTCAGGTCATGGTCTTCTTCTCCTTGTGCGCTGCTGTCAAGTTCTACTCTGAACTGCTCAACTACGTTGACACCCCCGTCGCTCCCCTTACCACACGGCCTCTGTTCTCCCTTTCCCTTTCACTCCTCAGGTCATGGTCTTCTTCTCCTTGTGCGCTGCTGTCAAGTTCTACTCTGAACTGCTCAACTACGTTGACACCCCCGTCGCTCCCCTTACCACACGGCCTCTGTTCTCCCTTTCCCTTTCACTCCTCAGGTCATGGTCTTCTTCTCCTTGTGCGCTGCTGTCAAGTTCTACTCTGAACTGCTCAACTACGTTGACACCCCCGTCGCTCCCCTTACCACACGGCCTCTGTTCTCCCTTTCCCTTTCACTCCTCAGGTCATGGTCTTCTTCTCCTTGTGCGCTGCTGTCAAGTTCTACTCTGAACTGCTCAACTACGTTGACACCCCCGTCGCTCCCCTTACCACACGGCCTCTGTTCTCCCTTTCCCTTTCACTCCTCAGGTCATGGTCTTCTTCTCCTTGTGCGCTGCTGTCAAGTTCTACTCTGAACTGCTCAACTACGTTGACACCCCCGTCGCTCCCCTTACCACACGGCCTCTGTTCTCCCTTTCCCTTTCACTCCTCAGGTCATGGTCTTCTTCTCCTTGTGCGCTGCTGTCAAGTTCTACTCTGAACTGCTCAACTACGTTGACACCCCCGTCGCTCCCCTTACCACACGGCCTCTGTTCTCCCTTTCCCTTTCACTCCTCAGGTCATGGTCTTCTTCTCCTTGTGCGCTGCTGTCAAGTTCTACTCTGAACTGCTCAACTACGTTGACACCCCCGTCGCTCCCCTTACCACACGGCCTCTGTTCTCCCTTTCCCTTTCACTCCTCAGGTCATGGTCTTCTTCTCCTTGTGCGCTGCTGTCAAGTTCTACTCTGAACTGCTCAACTACGTTGACACCCCCGTCGCTCCCCTTACCACACGGCCTCTGTTCTCCCTTTCCCTTTCACTCCTCAGGTCATGGTCTTCTTCTCCTTGTGCGCTGCTGTCAAGTTCTACTCTGAACTGCTCAACTACGTTGACACCCCCGTCGCTCCCCTTACCACACGGCCTCTGTTCTCCCTTTCCCTTTCACTCCTCAGGTCATGGTCTTCTTCTCCTTGTGCGCTGCTGTCAAGTTCTACTCTGAACTGCTCAACTACGTTGACACCCCCGTCGCTCCCCTTACCACACGGCCTCTGTTCTCCCTTTCCCTTTCACTCCTCAGGTCATGGTCTTCTTCTCCTTGTGCGCTGCTGTCAAGTTCTACTCTGAACTGCTCAACTACGTTGACACCCCCGTCGCTCCCCTTACCACACGGCCTCTGTTCTCCCTTTCCCTTTCACTCCTCAGGTCATGGTCTTCTTCTCCTTGTGCGCTGCCGTGAAATTCTACTCCGAGCTCCTAAACTACGTTGACATTCCCGTGCTGGACATTCACGGGAAGCAGAAGCAGCAGAAGCAGGAGTTTTGGACCCCCATCCCATTCACCCACTTCCTCCCCCACCTGTTCTCTCCCTGCCCCCATCCTATCCTCCCCAGGTGATGGTGTTCTTCTCCTCGTGTGCTGCTGTCAAGTTCTACTCCGAGCTGCTCAACTGCATCGACATTCCCGTGCTGGACATTCCCGGAAAACAGGGGCATCAGAAGCGGGAGTTTTGGACCCCCATCCCATTCACCCACTTCCTCCCCCACCTGTTCTCTCACTGCCCCCATCCTATCCTCCCCAGGTGATGGTGTTCTTCTCCTCGTGTGCTGCTGTGAAGTTCTATTCTGAACTGCTAAACTACATTGACATCCCCGTGCTGGACATTCACGGCAAGCAGAAGCAGCAGAAGCGCACAACCACGTACTTTGAGTTTGTGAATGCGGACAAGGGCATTCTCTTGTGCACGGACGTGGCTGCTAGGGGGCTGGATATCCCGGCGGTTGATTGGATCATTCAGTACGACCCGCCCGATGATCCCAAGGTGAGTGCCCGACAATCCCAAGGTTAGAAAGCACGTAGCAACAGGACAGGGACATTGCTGCGAGGGGGCTGGACATCCCGGCTGTGGATTGGATCATTCAGTACGACCCGCCCGATGATCCCAAGGTGAGACGACAAGCGTGCAAGCAGCAGCAAAAGCAGAAGCAGCAGAAGCGCACGACCACCCGCCGACAAGGGCATTCTCTTGTGCACGGATGTGGCTGCCAGGGGGGTGGACATCCCGGCGGTTGATTGGATCATTCAGTACGACCCGCCCGATGATCCCAAGGTGAGTACCCTACTTTGAGTTTGTGAACGCCGACAAGGGCATTCTGCTCTGCACTGACGTGGCTGCCAGGGGGCTGGATATCCTGGCAGTTGATTGGATCATTCAGTACGACCCGCCCGATGATCCCAAGGTGAGGGTTGTGATGATCCCAAGGTACGTACTTTGAGTTTGTGAACGCGGATTAAGGAATTCTGCTGTGCACGGATGTGGCTGCAAGGGGGCTCGATATCCCGGCGGTTGATTGGATCATCCAGTACGACCCGCCTGATGATCCCAAGGTGAGCAATCAAGCAGCAGCAGGAAAAGCAGAAGCAGCAGCAACAGAAGCAGCAGCAGCAGCAGCAGCAGAAGGAGAATCAGAAGCAGAAATGGCAGCAGCAGCAAAAGTGCACGAGCCATACCCTGAGTTTATGAATGCAGGAAAGGGCTTTCTCTGTGCTTTGTGTGCCTCTGAGCTCCAGTTGCTCACGTACCCGCGGTTGGCTAAGGTGCCTCTAAGGGACTCCCCCCCCCTTCCCCCCCCTCCCCTCAACCACAGCTGCCAACCGCCAGGGCTGGAGGCACGGGAGCTCTGAGGCACCTGCACCTGCGACTGGCACCTGCGACTGGCACCTGCAGTTGAGAGGGGGGGAAGGAAAGGTCTGAGGCACATGCCTCCAGGTGCCTCCGAGGGACGTTATCCCCCCCTTCTCTTTCTTTCAGTTGTGAGTCTCCTCCTGTATTTCTTACTCCTCCCCCCACTCTCCCTCTCCCAGGAGTACATCCACAGGGTCGGACGAACGGCAAGAGGGGAGGGCGGCAGCGGGCGCGCCCTGCTCTTCCTCATTCCAGAGGAGCTGCAGTTCCTGGTGTACCTGCGGTCAGCCAAGGTGCCTCTGAACGAGTACGAGTTTCCAAGCCACAAGATCGCCAAAGTGCAACCGCAGCTGGTGCGTTGAGTGTTGGGGAGGGAAAGGGAAGGAGGAATGTGGGTGGGAGCGAAAGAGAAGGCAGGGATGTGAGTGGGAAGGGAAGAAGGGGGGGGAAGGAGGCCCTAAGGAGCCTCTGAACGAGTGGGAGTTCCCAAGCCACAAGATCGCCAAAGTGCAACCGCAGCTGGCGAGTTGACAATGCAGTGGTGAATGCAGCATGGAGATCCCAAGGTGAGTACGATATGGAGATTCCAAGGTGTATCTCTGAACGAGTATGAGTTTCCAAGCCACAAGATCGCCAAAGTGCAACAGCAGCTGGTGAGTGGGCGATTGAGAAGAGAAATACTAGGCAGGGAAGGAACAGGGGGCCTCCTCCTTCCCCTGCGCCTGCACTTACTCTTCCATGGGAAGGAGCAGGGGGGCATGGAGATCTTAAGGCGTGGCAGAGAGCAGCAGGTGGTGTGTGGCAGAGAGCAGCAGGTGGTTGCAATGCCCCACCCCCACCTTCCTCGTCTCCCCACCAGGAGCGGCTGATAAAAATCACTACCTGCATCAGAGCGCCAAGGAGGCATATCGGGCCGGGCTGATGCTCACCACCATTTCTGTTCCACGTTTTGCCATCTCCCTCCATCCCTCTCAACCGCACACCACCACTGTATTTCACACCAGGAGCGGCTGATAGCCAAGAACTACTACCTGCACCAGAGCGCCAAGGATGCTTATCGGGCCTACCTGCTGGCGTACGGATCTCACGCGCTCAAAGACACCTTCAACGTGCACCGGCTGAACCTCCAGGTATGGCACGGTGCGGTACGGCACAGCACGGTATTGTACGGTGTATAAGTTGAAACTCATATGAGGCACGCCAGGCCTACCTGCTGGCGTAGGGCTCACACGCGCTCAAAGACACGTTCAACGTGCACCACCTCAACCTCCAGGTACGGTGCGGTACGGTACGGTACAGCACGGTACTGTACGGTTTATAAGTTAAAACTCATATGGGGCTTACCGGGCCTACCTGCTGGCGTACGGCTCGCACGCGCTCAAAGACACGTTCAACGTGCACCGGCTGGACCTGCAGGTACGGTACGGTACGGTACGGTACGGTACGGTACGGTACGGTACAGTGCTGTACGGTGTATAAGTTGAAACACATATGAGGCACGCCAGGCCTACCTGCTGGCGTACGGCTCGCACGCGCTGAAAGACACGTTCAACGTGCACCGGCTCAACCTGCAGGTACGGCACGGTACGGTACGGTGCTGTACGGTGTATGAGTTAGAATGCATGTGGGGCATATCAAGCCTACCTGCTGCGCCGCTCGCACGCGCTCAAAGACACCTTCAACGTGCACCGCCTCAACCTGCAGGTACGGCATGGTGATGTACGGTACAGAACGGTGGATGGGTTAAAATGCATATGGGGCATATCAAGCCTACCTGCTGGCCTACCTGCTGGCCTACCTGCTGGCCTACCTGCTGGCCTACCTGCTGGCCTACCTGCTGGCCTACCTGCTGGCCTACCTGCTGGCCTACCTGCTGGCCTGCCTGCTGGCCTACCTGCTGGCCTGCCTGCTGGCCTACCTGCTGGCCTGCCTGCTGGCCTGCCTGCTGGCCTACCTGCTGGCCTACCTGCTGGCGTACGGCTCTCACGCCCTCAAAGACACCTTCAACGTGCACCGGCTCAACCTCCAGGTACAAAACGGTGCGGTACGGTACAGCACGGTGTATGAGTTAACATGCATATGGGGCATATCAAGCCTACCTGCTGGCCTACGGATCTCACGCGCTCAAAGACACGTTCAACGTGCACCGCCTCAACCTGCAGGTACGGTACAGCACGGTAGATGAGTTGGAGCTTATATGGGGTACACTAGACCCACCTGCGCTCCTCGAAGACAGATTTAACGTGCACCGCCTCAACTTGCAGGTACAGTACATGAGTTACGAAAGAAACACATTCTTTTTCTTTTTCTCCATGAAACTAAAATCAGCACTGTTCTGTAGCCTATTTTGCGTGCGGCGCATATGGTCTCCGAGGTGATAATCTGCAAGTCTGATCTGATCGTACGCAATATCTTGTCCTCATTCCCCACACCATTTTTTTATTTTTAATGTTAATGCTGCAGGGTGTTGCGGCATCATTTGGCTTCAGCAGCCCACCCAAAGTGGTGATCAACATGGATAGCAACGCGTCCAAATTCCGCAACAAAGCACACAAAGGTGCTCGGGGTCCGGGGAAATTCAATGCCAGCAGCGGACACGCCTTCAGCGCCAGTAATCCGTATGGAAAACGTGAAAGCGACGACAAAAGGCAATTTACGAGAATTTAGCTTAGGACTTTATGATTGTTTGAACGTGGTGTTGATGACCACGTTGAAAAGCACAATTCATAATGACTGGGTTTCAGGAGGGCTGACTTTATCAGACTGTTTTAGTCTGATATGATTGTATGAAATTTAAAGCATTTTTTTTCTGACATTCCATTTTTTTCAGAGTTACCGTAGCTGTTATTTAAAAAATGAGTGCTTCAGACTTATGTTTTTTCTTTAATACTGAAAATTTCAGAGTCCTTGCTTACCGGATATTGAGTTTTCAGACTACACACTGTGTAGAACAGAGTGTACTCTGAATACGATTCTTACGGTAAATGTAAATGCCAGTAAAGGTCGTTCATACGGTAGTGCAATAACGGCAACGTTTCTGTGCTCTGATGCTGCGGAAAAATATGATTTGACCCATCCACAGTCCCGCAAGCATGGACGATCTGACTGCAGCCATCCAACCTACCCCAATTTTGGGGCGTGGTGCATCTAACGCATGATCTTCCCAAAATGCCGTTTCAGCGATTATCGCACCACACCGATTGATAACGATTTTGAAATCAATATACCGTCTCAAACCTTGTAGTGATTCGGATTCCCTAACCTGTGGTGCGGCTCGAGCCTCGTTACGAACTGTGTTTGTGCCGAAGAGGACGTTGTGGAAATATACGACCTAAAAAGTTGGGTTTTTATACAGGCCGTCACACACATTTCGTAGTTATCACGAGCAGTCACATGTTCCGCCAATTCTATCATGAACGGTCACATGTTCCGCGAAATCTATCACGAACCATCACACGGGTATCACCCGCCGTCACTCAAAGGCACTAACATATATCACGGGTAGTCACACTTGAAACTTTGCTATCACAGATGAACCCTGTCATCATTTCGTTGACCCGCCCTGAAACACTGTACAGATTTAGGGACTTTATTTGGGGGTCCTGGTTTTTGTCCTTTATACGCGACCAGTTTGGGCGCAAAGATACCTGGTTACGTTCGGTTCGACGTAACACATTAGCTCTATTAAATTTATGAATGAATTGGAACGCATATATATATAGCTGAGTTCACAACTTATAACTTAGAGCACACAATTTATTTCGTTATACAGCGGATATAATATACAGAATGAGAATAATCTCACCGTAATTAATTAAATATAGACTTAATAATCTCATGCCAGCTTCGGCTAGTGATAGGCTGGCATGAGATTATTAAGTTTATAGTATTTAATTGATGGCTATTGATACTGTATTCAGCGATTATCGCACCACACCGATTGATAACGATTTTGAAATCAATATACCGTCTCAAACCTTGTAGTGATTCGGATTCCCTAACCTGTGGTGCGGCTCGAGCCTCGTTATGAACCGTGTTTGTGCCGAAGAGGACGTTGTGGAAATATACGATTTCAGTCTATTTACACACCCCGAAAGCATAAACCTGAACATTGCGACCAGCCAAAATACGGAGGCAAGGCTGCTGGCTGCTTTACAATACCACCTCCCGAAGTCGGAAAATGTGGATGAACTTCCATTCGTCATCTAAAAGTGAACGACTTTGTCTGCCAGCGCCTGCAAAAGCAACCTGGAGAGATCCGATCAGACCCCAATCCACTGGTTCATATCGCTTGATTGTACTGTAACTCCTTACATGTGCGCTACGAAGGATGCACAGCTCGAAACCCGGCAGGTAACTTCTTTGTGTGCTTCCTAAACCCACTGTGTACGAACTGTAGCTGGCTTAATTCTCTATCTCTCAACTCGACTTGACCACACTTCCACCACAACCCCACCGCTGAACCCTAAACCAAACCAGCCCGAACCCTGCAATTCTGCACGTTTCAGTACGGTTTTGCTAAAATATCAACGGTTAAAGCAGGAGTGTACATCTGTCAGTGGGGTTTCGGGTTTGTAGGTGTGCCTCGTGGCAAAAACGTTTCAAGTTCCTAAGGAATTTGGACCTTTGAACTTCGATTTTGGATCGAAGTTTGTCGCGCACTGAACGACATTTCCTCATCCTCTGCTCATCAACTTCTTTTGGCTAAATTGCGCGACGCGCCGGCGCGCGAACTTCTCTCAATCCCATTGACTAACCTCGCACCGCAGGTAGGGCGACCGAACCCCTCGCAAATGAATCGATCTACATGCGCTTAGGTGATATTGACAGCCAATTCAATGTGTAAGAATTGGTGGTCTTCTTAATTGTCACTGTTTCGCGTGGGATAATGTTTACAAGGTCGACCCATTTGGACGAGGTGCGTTCGCCTTACCTGCGGTGCGAGCTTGGTCGATGGGATTGTAAGAAGTTCGCGCGCCGGCGCGTCGCGCAATTTCGCCACTTCTTTTGGATCGAAATCCTCTTCGGGCCGCAGCAATCCTACCTAGCGCCGTTACCTCCACAAAATCCGGATTCTCACCCCTTCACCACGAAACTTATGTGGCACCTCGGTACAGTATAGGGTTTAGTAGCTGGGCGTTCCAATCCAACTAACTGCACAACCAACCGTCGCGCACTCGAGAGCTGGCAATAAAACGCCATTACGGTACAGTGTGCGCATCGATCTCCCTCCCATAGTCGGTCCTCGCAACTGCCATCATCATGGTAGCGACTTGTTTGCGGACTCCGAGACTGATGTTGTCCAGACCTCGAAACGCAAACAGAAGACTTGTCACTTCTGGTCCTAAACACAGAGCCGCAACAGGTCATCATGTTTATCAATTCGTCATTCCAGTGACTTGACATTGCCGATTCATCAGTCCCATTCACCCTCTATCCATTTCCATTCCACATTTCTCAGCTTCAACTTTCGTCCAACTCCGGGTCGCTTTCGTTCAACTTTCAAATTTTCAGTGACCTTCTAGTAGGCGAATTTGGGCTGCAACAACCTGCGAAAGGCTCGAAAGCTGACCTTGTACTAAAGAATCGGCTCGGAGCCGTGATCTAACCTTACACACACTGCCACGTGACGCACCGCAGATTAATCGACAGCATGGCGTCCTGCGCGGCGCGACGCGTGGCTGTCACGACGACCTACTCGCACGACTCTTCGCTGCGCGACAGCGACGTTAACGGTTCGCTGGATGATATTGTCGAGGCGGCTTATTCCGCTGCTGTCGCCGCCAGGAGTAAAGCCAGGGCGACCACACTTGAACCCACCGCCGCCGCCGCTAAAACTGCCTCGGAAGCCGCCGCATTTACGGCCCCTCCCGGCGTACTTCGCGCGGGAACGTTGGCGGCGCGGCGGAAACTCCATTGCGGCTCGCTGCGCCTCGACGTGTCTGTTACTAACGTTGACCCCGCTGATGATCTAGACGTTGCGAATGAATTGGATGGTCGCCACGGCATTGCTGGCGCGAGTGACGATCACTTTTCCTTCGAGACGCCGCCGCAGGCGACGCTGCCACCGGCGGCTGTAGTAGCGACGTCGCCCACGGTCGCATGGTCGTCGCGCGGGCGACGGTTCCGCAAGTCGTCCTCCGCGTCCGCCGCTCCCCTCTCCGTCGCCGACGGAAGCCGCGCCACGAATGCGAACGACGCCGCGTCGCGACAGGCGGCAGACTTCTCGGCAGCAACAGCGGCATCGCTGGCAGCGGCGGCGTTTCCGCGAGCTGCGTCGGCTGGCGCCGCGTTTGATAAGCCCCCGCGCAGCCCACTGGCTTCCCTCACGATCGCCCCCACCTTCCCACCGCTCGGCGCGCAGCAGCTCTCACCGGACGCAGCTGGTCATGTGGACGATCCACGTGGCACCACCACCTCCTCGAACAAGCCCCAGCGCCGCAGGAGGCAGAATCGTCATGATCATCCGGCGGCGGAGCCAGCTGCGCGGCGGCAGCTCGCGGCCCCACAGGCAGCTGCGCGGCAGCTCGCGGAGCTGGCGCGCGGGGGGCTGCTCTCCCCAGCTATTCTCACTGCTAATTTTGCCTCTACTGGTGCTAGCCTGAGGCGCTCTGGTAGCAGCCGTAGGGGTTCCACTGCTCCCTCCACTCCAACGGGCCTGCTAACCACTTCTACGACCAGGGCCCCTGTTCCTAGCGGGGGATCCGCATTGACGAGTCCCATCGCTGTGGTCAGACTGAGCAGCCGCGTGGGGTTCGTCAACTGGCGCCACCTGCCCCATCGCCCCGGCACCGCACCGCACCCTGCATCGCCGCAGTCCATCTCACCGCATTCCGCGTCACCGCACTCCGTCTCCCCGGACACGACATCTAGAGTGGTGGTCGCCAAGCGTGCCAGCAGCAATGGTGATGGCCGGCGACAGAGCTTCACGCTCGGTGACAGCCTTGGTGTTGCTGAAGCAGCAAGCCATGGCGGTGCAACGGAGATTGGTCAGGGGATGTCCCGCAGCCAAAGCTGGAGCGATGGCAAGGCCCCGGCGAGAAATGTTCCCTGTCCTGGTGCTGGTGTTCCTGCTGCTTCCGTCGCTACTGCTGCTGCTGCTGCTGCTGCTGCTGCTGCTGCTGCTGCTGCTGCTGCTGCTGCTGCTGCTGCTGCTGCTGCTGCTGCTGCTGCTGCTGCTGCTGCTGCTCCCGCTGCCGCTGCTGCTGCTGCTGGTGGTGTTTTTTCCAACGGCAAGCCCGCTTCCGTTGCGCTTTCGATTGTGCCACCTTCACCCGGCAGCACAGCGCTCCCGTTACAATCACAATCTCCTTTGGCCCCATTCTCGCTTCGCTCGCACTCTACAGGCTCCAGCCAATCAGATCGACCGGCTGGATCTGGCTTGCCGCCACTCTCGCCCCAAGGACAGCACTCGGTTTCCTTGTTACAAGCAGCTTCATTAGAGTCTCCAGCGCACGCTGATCATTCCAACACAGCTTTTTCTTTCAGGTCTCTGTCTGCCGAATCCAGCCTATCGAACATCCAGACCTGTTACAACCCCCAGCCGATGCCACAGCCCGCAAATCTGCGAGTGTTCATCCCGTTACAGTCATCACCCCAGTTTTTGTCACCCCCGCTATCCCCTCTTTCTGCGTCATCCTTGGGCACGCCGTTGTTGTCGCCACTCCGGAGTGCTCTCAAGCACTCGCCTTCAATGGAAGGTCGTAGGGCATCAATGGAAGGGTTTGGGGTGCAACGTCAGTGTGGAGCTGACTCTGGCTGCTCTGCTCTGAAGCGGAGAGTGTCTTTTTCAGACAATCTGCATGTGATATGTCTATGAGATTTAGGCTGGTTTCTTGCTATGTTGTGTGGATGTTTGCATCTACGTTCTTGTATATTCTTTTACCAGATCGTGCTGATCTCTCCGTGCAATAGATCTTCCTCTTCTAACTTATTCGCTAAAATGCTTTGTATGAGACAATGCTTGGTGTAGTCTTCTTTACCATATTGTGCTTATGCTCACCTCTCTCTCGTCCTCCTCGATTTGCTCGTAGCGGATGAACGTGTGCTGTGAGCGTGCGACCCCGCGTTACAGCCACTCAGCGGTTCCGCGAAGGGAGGTGAAACTCATCTCTGCTCCCCGTAACTGGAGGACATCCAGCCAGACTTCTATCATTAGTTCACATTTTACTGTACACTCGGTTGACCGAACAGAAGCCACGAATCGTCGACACCAGCACACCCCCACTCCATGTACGTGTTAGTGTGAAAGAGTATGCGACTCCACCGACTGCTACACTTCAGTTCAAACCTCCGTACGTTTTGCGTTTGCTTTTGCCCCGCTTTGGCAACTCAAAACTTTGAATGGCAGCAGACTCAAAACTTTGCCCGCCTCGGGATTGTCTTGTCGATAGGTAATAACTACCTCGTAAGCTCCTCTGCACTGCCCAGCCCATTCACCCTTCGAAGAACTCCGGGAAGCTGTCCTTCTCCTGATACTTGTTTATTCGGAGGACTCCTGGAAGTCTGTAGCTTGAGTAGAACGTAGCTGCATACGTTCGTAGATAGAACTGGTTCGGCAATTCTTCTCAGATGCAGGCGTGAGGTACTAGTTGTACCCGCAACATACAGCTCTCAAACGGGTTCGACGGAAAGCAACGGCTTTTAAGGAGGCCGTGTCGTCATGAAGGCGCCCGGTTCCAAGTCCGTTGCGCGGTCGATGTGACTTTTGAGTCACAACCTGCGTCGCGCTTTTGAGTCGACTGTCGACTCAAAAGTCATGAAGGCACCGGGGTCCAAGTCCGCGGCGCGGTCGATCCGCCAGCACAATCGGCGGCGCGTGCCGTTGTCCACCATCGCTATAGTCACAACCTGCGTCGCGCTTTTTTTTCGTATCCGTCATTTTCCGCCGAACGGTTTCCCGCGCCGCTGCTGCCGCATCTGCCGGTGCTGAGAACGAGACGACAGCCATGATATCAGAACTAGTCGCTGGTTAGCTTCGGGAGTAACAGACTCAACGTCGTCGGGTTTCTCCTCCCCAGGTTCTCTACTGAGAGGCACAAGTAGCGTCGCAGGAACTTCAGGAGTCGCCGACCGATTAGGTGACTCTGGCGACGGAAGCGCTGTCGTCGCTGGTCCGCGGAGAGTGACTGGTTCTGGTGACGAAATCGCAGAAAGCGGGCTGGACACGGATGGTGGGAAAGCGGGGGAAAATGACAATTTCCATAACGAAGATGACAATAACGAAGCCTCTAACTGGGCGACGCTTCTGGAGGAAAAGCCTCGTAACGCAGGCAGCAACAGCGGCCACCTAACAGCTACTGCAGCAGCGGCCGCTGCTGACGACGACGATTCCGATGCTGGCGTGGGCGCGGTCGACGCGGGGCACGAGAGCGCAACTCCCGCGAAGCTTCCTGCCCATTTCCTCCCGTTGACGCACGACATGGGGGACGAGGAACTCTTTTGGCGCGCATCCATGGTACCCCTGCGCCGCCGCAGGCGCCCGCGCGGAAGTGGCGCGGGCGGCGGAGCGGAGGGGGAAGGAGGGGGCGGCGGAGGAGCGGGCGGAGGGGGGAGGCGCAGTATAGGGCCGGCGAAAGTGGCGCTATTGTTCTATAGCGCGGGAACGATGCCGTTTGCGCCGCTGTGGACTAGATGGTTAGAGGGTCATGAGGACAGAGTGTCAGTCTATGTGTTAACCGACAAGACGAAATAGACAAGTCGTTACTCCCCCCTATTTTTCGGGGTAGATTCGTGCCGGACAGGTCCCGATTCGAAGACTGTTCACATGAGTGTGAGAATAAGAACGAGGAATGATTGACTAGGAAATGAGTTGGGTACAAATATGTAACCCTAGGAAACTGTACCCCATAGTGTCTACCCCACTACAGCCTAGAAAGACTATAGCATGAATGTTTGACACACCTCCATAGGCAAAGTGGGGGAGAACAAGGGGTCACAAGACCAGTCAAGCAAGGCAAGCTCAGGGTGGATCACAACGTCACCACACATTCCGAGCACAAGTTCAAAGGCCACAAGGCCAGTTCACATGCAGGATTATAAATCAAGGTGAACAAGCAAGACAGTGATAGCAACCTAGCAAAGGTAAACAGGCAGGTGCAGGTATATATAGATCACAGTACAAAGGTAAGTCAAGAGGTAAGCAAGTGAGGCCAGGTAGGCACAAGACCTAACATAGTACAGAAACGCTGATGATCACAAGGCTGAAGTGCCTTGGTAAAGATATCAGCAGTGTTGGCCGAAGAGGCCACGTAAGCAAGGCGCAGCTGACCACGCTGCTGCAGCTCACGTGCAAGGAAGTAGCGAAGAGCAATGTGCTTCGTTCTGTGCTCCAGTCTGTGCTCCTGACACAAGGCCAGCATGGCCTTGTTGTCTACGTACAGGACTGGAGGAGAACGAGACGGCTCTCCCAGGTCGGTCAGCAGGTAGGTGAGCCAGCGTAACTCCTGTGCAGCCATGGCCCCTGCGTAGATCTCAGCCTCACAGCTGGAGCTGAGAACAGAAGACGAGCGGGTAGACCGCCACGAAACAGAGCCGGAACCAAGGCTGAAGGTGTAACCCTGTGACGACCGCTGTGTAGCCAAGTCGTCAGCCCAAGAAGCGTCTGCGTGACCAGTGAGGACCACTGGACCTCGCCCTCCAAGCACGAGCCCCATGCCCGACGTACTGCACAAGTAGCGCAACACCCTCTTAGCAGCATCCATGTGCTCCTTCCTGTGTCGGCCAGGAGCGACATAGCGTGCTAGGATGCTAAGAGGGTATGCAAGGTCAGGTCGAGTGCAGGTCATCAAGTACATGAGGCAGCCCACAAGCTCTGGATACGGGCCACTCGGCTCTACGGACTCATCCGAAGGCAGAGCTGAGAGCGAGTGGCGCGTAGGCAGAGGAGTGGACTGTGGCGAGGAGTACGTGAAGCGGAAGCGCTGAAGGACCTGCTGCACCATGTGTGACTGAGTCAAGGTAATGGTGCGCTGTGCTCTGTCCCGGGTGATCCGCAAGCCAAGATAGCTTGTCAGCTCACCCAGGTCTGTGCACGTGTGTCTCATCTGCAGCTCCGACTTCACGTGGGCGAGTGCCTCAGTGTCAGCAGTAGCAAAAACCAAGTCGTCTACGTACACGAGAACGTAGAACGGCGGCAGAGTGGTGTCGGTGCGTAGAAACAGCGACGGGTCAGCAGTAGAAGGAGCAAACCCAAGAGCAGCAAGAGTCGTCCTCAGTGTGTCGTGCCACTCACGGGGTGCCTGGCGGAGACCGTAGACTGGCCGCCGGAGGCTCCACTGGGTACTAGGAGGAAACGACCCAGTGAAGCCAGGTGGGCGGCGCAGCCAGATCTCCTCGTGCAGGCTGCCCTGTAGGAAAGCAGTGCTGAAGTCAAGAGAGTGGAGCTCGTAGTCACGCTGAGCGGCGACGTGCAGCAGAACCCGAAGAGTGGTCATCTTCGGGGTCGGGGAGAAGGTCTGGAAGAAGTCAACTCCCTCTCGCTGACTGAAGCCTCGTGCAACGTAACGCGCCTTGAAGACAGGCGGAGAACCCGGCGGCCGCTTCACCCTGAAAATCCACATGCCACTGACGATGTTCGCCCCAGGCGGGGGAACCTCGTCGACGTAGGTGCCTGTGGACTTCCAGGAAGCCATCTCTGCGTCCATGGCTGACTGCCACTGAGAGGAGTAGGGACCCTCTATCGCCTCTGCGTAAGAGCGCGGGGTCGGGATGTCTGGTGCATCCGGGTCTCCCTCTGGGGCAATCAGCATGGACACGAGATGAGGTAAAGCAGCGGCAAAGCACTCAAACTCCTCCTGTCTGTCCTCAAGAACGTCCGTGCCAAGAGCACACTCACCCCCGACGGACGGAGGACAGACAGACTCAGTTAGGGCAGGGCGGAGCGTTCGGTGGGCCCTAGGAACGATTCTGCTCTGATACCATGTGAGAATAAGAACGAGGAATGATTGACTAGGAAATGAGTTGGGTACAAATATGTAACCCTAGGAAACTGTACCCCATAGTGTCTACCCCACTACAGCCTAGAAAGACTATAGCATGAATGTTTGACAATGAGCACAGTGGACGGCATGCGTCGTCTGCTAGCGAACGCGCTTTTGGACTTTTCCAACGAGCGGTTTGTGACTATATGCGAGCTCTGCATCCCTATTAAAAACTTCACATTCATTTACTCGTACCTCATATCCCTTCATCACTCCGCCGCCCTCCCCTCTCCCTCCGCCTTGTTTCAACCGGGGTCGCTGGTTTCCTTCTCCCGGTTACATCTTGCCGGTACGGTTCCATCTGCGCTGCGTAGTTACATCCCGTCGAACGACATGTCAGGGGAGGGCGGAAAGGATCGTTTCAACCCCAACTGCTTCGAGCCGATACTGGGTGTGGAGTAGTGGAGGAAGGGAGGACAGTGGATTGGACTCACACGAAGGCTTGCCGTGCAGGTGTGTGTGTAGGGAGTGTGTGTGTAGGGATTGTGTGTGAAGAGAGTGTGTGTGTGGGGAGCGTGTGTGAAGTCCACAGTGGCACCTCAGTGGCAGACAGCCATGGACGCAGAGATGGCTTCTTGGAAGTCCACAGGCACCTACGTTGACGAGGTACCCCCTCCTGGGGCGAACATTGTCGATGGCATGTGGATCTTCTGTGTGAAGCGACCATCGGGTTCTCCACCTGCCTTCAAGGCGCGCTACTTTGCACGAGGCTTCAGTCAGCGTCAGGGGGTCGACTTCTTTCAGACCTTCTCCCCTACCCCGAAGATGACCACTCTTCGGGTTTTGCTGCACGTTGCAGCACAGCGTGACTACGAGCTGCACTCCGTCGACTTCTCGACAGCCTTCTTGCAGGGCAGCCTCCACGAGGCCATCTGGCTGCGCCGCCGATATGGCTTCACTGGGTCGTTTCCTGAGGGCACCCAGTGGAGCCTACGACGGCCAGTCTACGGCCTGCGCCAGGCGCCCCGAGAGTGGCACGACACACTGAGGACGACACTAGCGGCTCTTGACTTCACTCCCTCGACTGCTGACCTGTCGCTGTTTCTGCGCACGGACACTTCCCTGCCGCCGTTCTACATCCTCGTGTACGTCGACGACTTGGTCTTTGCTACTGCTGACACTGAGGCACTGGCACTTGTGAAGTCGGAGCTGCAGAAGAGACACACTTGCACTGACCTGGGTGATCTGTGCAGCTATCTTGGCTTGTAGATCACCCGGGACAGAGCAAGGCGCACCATCACTCTGCGTCAGTCACACATGGTGCAGCAGGTCCTTCAGCGCTTCGGCTTCCGGTTCTCCTCGCCACATCCCACTCCTCTGCCTACAGGCCACTTGCTCTCAGCTCCACCTTCGGACGAGTCCGTAGAGCCGAGTGGTCTGTATCCAGAGCCTATGGGTTGCCTCATGTACCTGATGACATACACACGACCTGACCTCGCGTACCCTCTCAGCCTCCTGGCTCGCTACGTTGCTACTGGTCGAAACCAGAAGGAGCACTGGACAGCTGCATAGAGGGTGTTGCGTTGCTTGTGCAGTACGTCAGGCACGGGGCTTGTGCTTGGAGGACGGGGCTCAGTGGTACTCACAGGACACTCCGACGCTTCCTGGGCCGATGACCAGGCGACTCAGCAGTCGTCACAAAGTTACACCTTCAGCCTCGGTTCTGGCTCGGTCTCTTGGAGGTCCTCTCGTTCTTCTTCTGTGCTTGGTTCCAGCTGTGAGGCAGAGATCTACGCTGGGGCTATGGCTGCACAAAAGCTACGCTGGCTGACCCACTTGCTGACTGACTTGGGTGAGTGGCCTCGTTCCCCTCCGGTTCTGTACGTCGACAACAAGGCCATGATTGCCTTGTGTCGGGAGCAGAGACTGGAGCACAGAACGAAGCACATAGCTCTTCGTTACTTTCTCGCACGAGAGCTGCAGTGTGAGGTGTCAAACATTATATATGTTGTGTTAGTTTAGGCTACAGTGGGTTAGCCTATAGGGGGTACACAATTCTAGGGTTAGGTACTTGTACTCTTTTCATTGCTAGTTCATTCATTCCTGTTCAGTGATTCCAACATGGTATAGAGCAGGTCCTTCCTAGGACCGAAATTTTCTAAGGGCCCACCACTACGTAACTACCTACCTACCTACCTACCCGTGCCCTAGGGCGCCTCGGCGTGTCACGCCCCTAGAGGCCCCTCTTGACGGCCCCGCGCTAGCCCCGTTCAGGCCCCGTCGGCCCCTTTAAGGCCCCGTTCAGGCCCCGCGCTAGCCCCGTTTAGGCCCCGTCGGCCCCGTTTCAGGCCCCGTCGGCCCCACGCTAGCCCCTCTCAGGCCCCGTCGACCCGCGCTAGCCCCGTTTCAGGCCCCGTCGGCCCCGCGCTAGCCCCTCTCAGGCCCCGTCGGCCCGCGCTAGCCCCGTTTCAGGCCCCGTCGGCCCCGTTTCAGGCCCCGTCGGCCCCGCGCTAGCCCCTCTCAGGCCCCGTCGGCCCGCGCTAGCCCCGTTTCAGGCCCCGTCGGCCCGCGCTAGCCCCGTCTCAGGCCCCGTAGGCCCCGCGCTAGCCCCTCTCAGGCCCCGTCAGCCCCGCGCTAGCCCCGTTTCAGGCCCCTTCGGCCCCGTTCAGGCCCCGTCGGCCCCTTGCTAGCCCCGTCAAGGCCCCGTTTGGCCCCGCGCTAGCCCCGCTCAGGCCCCGATCGGCCCCGCGCTCGCCCCTCTAGGGCCCCAACC